TAAGTGAAGAGTGGAAAGGTCTTGAAAATAATTGTTCGCAAACATATGTACGTACTTCCGAACAAAGACATCATTTGCTTTGAATTTTTCGTCAAAAGCGGAAATTTCTCAGGGTTCACATACGATTTATAAAAATTTTTGATGTTTACTGAGAAAAATACATTTTTTAAATCGGTATTATTCTACATGACAGTAACTTCCATTTGAAAGTCTTCGAGAACTGTATTCACGTCGATATTAAATGGTGAAAAAAACATTTTTGATTCAAAGTTGATAAAATAAATTCAATTTTAGAAATGCTTGACGGGCCGCATAAACATGTTTAACGGGCCGCAAGCGGCCCGCGGGCCGCGTGTTGCTTATCCCTGGTCTAGATAATTTAAATAGAAATTTGCCAAAATTTCCGGCTAAAACTTATATCATTCAGTTCCACCGAACTCGGTTTGATTTTCTTGCTTAGCTGATACAAGGGATCGTTTTACAATAACACAACATAGGTTCAAAAATTCTTTAATTTTATCTAAAAAATAGTACTCATTTAGCTGCAATCTCTAGATAAATTACTTGTGTAATTTTAAAATAATGTCGATTGATGATATATCCCCACTGTATTAATTTTTTTGTGGTGCAGTAAACAGTAATGAATACATGCGGACAGGTTCACTAAATGAATGTGTTTTAATAAGTAATTTCTAGGTACATTCATCAAAATTGATTAGTATTAATAAGTCACCATTAAATTAATTGTAGATTTGCAAACCAAATTTGTGTAAATACATTTCGCCATTTGTTCAAACGTACCTACACTTAGTATTAACAACTTTAATTGATTAAAATACCGCAGAAAATGTTAAATAAGACAGAGTAGGTACCTAATTCAAAGTAATGCCGATTTTTACTTATGATTAGTAAATAGCTAATTCACATACAGAAATATTGTTAGAGGTCAAAGTACTTTTTGATTGTCGAAGTATTCAAAGTATATCTGTTTGTTTTTAGAGGTTGTAATAGCACTTAACAATTTTTTATTGTTGGACAAACATTTATTCTTTATCATTGCTCGCAGACAGACCAGTATTACTTAAGTGGAATTGGATTGACTGTACAAAAGAATAAACTTAACAACAATAACCTTAGGCAAAGTTCTAAAACATTAATCAAGTGAATTACGATGAGTCAGATTGTTGGTGATATTTTATAATAAATATTGACATCCCTTTAGTAAGTTTTAGGTAATTAAATAGCCATTTCCTTACGGTAAAAATTGTTCCATTTTATCATTTAAAAATAATAGCAAAACGTTTATCTCAGAAATTACATATACTGTGGAATTCGTTTATTATGACTCCGCCTATATTGACCAACCGCTTTATATTAAGTAATTGCAGCGTTAAGTTTGATTTTCATATTAAATTATCTATAGGAAAATTTGGATATAATGACTCCGTTTAAAATGACATATCGTTTATTATGACTGATTCTCAAGAAATCATATCCGGCTATAGTGACCCAAATGATTAATAATGACATTTTCGCTCATTTCCTGACCCTTCTTAT